CAGGACCTTGTTACTCCTCTTGTCATTTCTTGTTTTGGACAGTTAGACAATTTATATATCTTTGTTTATAGTTTTAGACGCTCATGACTTAGTGACACCCGATGTTTGGCACTCGTTTCCGTATTTTTCTATATTATATTTAGAGTTGATTTAGTTTATGAAAAATTTAAATGTTAAAATATTTTATTAATTTCTTATAATCAGTTTAGTAGTAATATTTTGGGAAGTAGGCTTGCCTTGTAATATGATAGGCGCCATCACGACCATGGTTAGATTTTGGGTTGTGACAAGTTGGTATCAGAGACTAGGTTACATAGGTCTCACGAGTCATGATCGGGTTTAGTAGAGTCTTGCGGATCGGTACGGAGACATCTGTACTTATTTTCGAGAGGCTACAGAACCTTTAGAAAAACTTCACCTTCTTGAATTATTATTGTGCGGTATTGATTCAACTTGAACTGTAACTCTTTGAATTCTTTTCACGTATTCGTATGCGCACATGAGCGCTCAGTATCGATTATGATATATGGTGATTCCATGGATGAGGTGCGAGATGTGATTCATGTGTGTTGATGTTGGGCCAATCTGGAGGACTTGAGGCTCTATTTGATAAGAGGTTTATTACCAGTGTTTGGTTGTTTTGGGCAGCTGCTATGATTAGAAATCATCGTGGTGAGTGTTTGAATTATGTGGTATATTATGTGATTTCAGGTATGTTTTAGACTCGTTCGAGGACGAACATATGTTTAAGCGGAGAAGGATGTAACGACCGGACTAATCATTTTGAGCAATTTCACTTCGCTCAATTGTTTAAGGGCATGAGTAACTCCGTATGATGTGTTATGACTTATGTGAATCGTCGATTTTGGTATTTCATGTTATTCGGAATTGATTTGGAAGAATGGTCTCAGCTAGAAGCTCTAAATTTGAAAGGTTTGACCAAGATTTTGACTTTTAGTAAACGAATTCGGATTTGGATTTTTATGATTCGATTAGTTTCGTTGGGTGATTTTAGACATAGGAGTGTGTCCAAAATATAATTTGAAGGTCCGTGGTAGAATTAGGCTTGAATTAGCGAAAGTTGGAAGTTTAGAAGTTTTTAGGCATGAATTCTAGGTTGATTTGGTGTTTTGGTATTATTTTGGATGTTCCGGAGGTTCGACTAAGTTCAGGTAGTTATGACTTGTTGGAATTATTGGTTGAGATTCCTATGGCCTCGGGTGAGTTTTGAATAGGTTTGGGTTGTGTTGCGCTCGTTTTTCTTATGTTTCGACGCCATTTCTTCAAGCATAAATGATGTCATATTGAACAAATGAGCTCTGATTTCTTTTTTGATTGAAGCATTAGATACGTATCGTAATTACGGACCCATAGCAAGGATTTGGACACTATATGAGGATTTTACGGTCCTTTTACTAAGAATTAGGTTGCCAGATTTTTGAGATTAATTACGAAATTGCCACTGACGACGTATTTTAAAATCTGCACTATTTGTAAATATTGAAACCAATATATCTCATTTATTATAAGGTCAAATTGAGTGATTCAAAGGCCTAACTTAACTAAAATTTCACAAGAAATCTATTGGAGGCATAAAAAGTGAGTTTCGGGATCATTTGGCATGAGAAACGAGGCAGAATAACTGACAGAAAAATATATAAAATAAGGGTTTGTTCATTCGGTCATATTTTGAGTTGGGGAGCTCGGATTTGGGAGATTTTGTAGGCAATTTTCACCATCGGGATTGGGGTAAGTGTTCTCTATTCGATTTTGGTTATATTTCATGAATCTGTCTTCGTTTTTGGGATTTGATTGATGATTTCAAAGTGAAATTGAGGGAGTTGGGGCTTGAGTTTCAGAGAGTTTTAGGTAGGGATTTGAGGGACCAAACGGAGTACGATTTTGATAAATTTTATATGGTTAGACTCGGAAGAGGATGATGTTTATTATTCTGCCATTTTTAACTGGTTGCGAGACGTGGGCCCAGGGGCCAAGTTTTGGCCGGTTTCAGATTATTGGCCTATTTTTATAGTTTTTATTGTGAAATTCGATTCTTTAGACATGTTGATAATATTATTCTAATTATGGTTAGATTCGGAGCTTTTGGAGACCGAATCGAGGGACGAGGACATACCGGAGTAAGATTTTTACGCTGGAAAGGTAAGTAACAGTTTTAACTCTGGCCTTGAGGGTATAGACCCGGAGAATTTGATATCATGCGATTGTTTTGAGGTGATACCCACGCTAGGTTACAGGTGTGCGGGTGTATACATCGAGGGATTGAGACTTGGTCCGTTCCGTGAGGATGTGAGGCCTAATAACCATTATCTGTGTTTATGCATTTACTTGTTGGTGAACTTGTCTGCCTTCACATTAGAGATCATGTTTAGGCTTCATTAGTGCTCACATTATTTTTACTCAGTCATAGAAATTATTGTACATATTTACCTCAGTCTCTACTATTTTGCTGATATGTTGTGATACTTGATGTAGGTTGTGTCCCCTTATTAGTGGTGCATTGTGAGGCTGGAGAGGTATATGACTAAGTGAGGTCGAGGGCCTGGTTGTGAAGATATTAATACCATAGCGCGTGAGCTGTCCGCGTAGTACGTAAGCTGACCGTGCGAGTCTAGGTATTGATATCATAGTGCGTGAGCTGTCCGCGTAGTACATGAGCTGACCGTGCAGATCCAGGCATTGATATTATGGCATGTGAGCCGTCTGTGCTTAGCGCTTGGGCTTTGGGAGCCCCTAGAGTCTGTACACACCCCCAATGAGCGCAGAGTGTTGAGTGCTGAGTGCGAGTGATGAGTGATGGAGTGACATTGCTTTGAAGTTGTATTTACTTGTGTTGTTGCTGCATTTATCTGTTAAATTTTTTTGTGGCATTAATGAGTTATGGAATTTACCTATTTATTTTTGCTTATTTTTAAATTGTGAAAATAAACAATTGGACTGTTTTACTTAGCTCGTCACTATTGCTCAGTTCCTTAGTTATTTCTGTTTCTACTGAGTTGGTTGTACTCATACTACACCCTGCATTTTATGTACAGATCCAAGTGAGTTAGAGCGCGGCGATCGTTGAGTTCAGGCCGACAATCTATGGAGATTGCAAGGTAGCTGCTAGTATCCTCAGGACCTTGTTACTCCTCTTGTCATTTCTTCTTTTGGACAGTTAGACAATTTATATATATTAGTTTATAGTTTTAGATGCTCATGACTTAGTGACACCCCGATGTTTGGGGGCTCGTTTCCGTATTTTTCTATATTATATTTCTAGTTGATTTAGTTTATGAAAAATTTAAATGTTGAAATGTTTTATTAATTTATTATAATCAGTTTAGTAGTAATATTTTGGGAAGTAGGATTGCCTTGTAACATGATAGGCGCCATCACGACCATGGTTAGATTTTGGGTCGTGACACAAATCTTCCTAATAAAGACCTCCTGATCAGCCATCAAGAATATCCAGGGACATCCTGATTTTTGTCCGACTAAAATAATCCGACAGAATTCACAAAATAGGTTTTTGCTAATTATTTTAATTTTTATAAAATTTTTAGGAATTTTTGTTAATTGTTTGCATTTAGTTGCACTTTTCATGCATTTTTAACATTTTTTTAAAATCATAGAAAAATACCAAAAAATGTTCAAATCATCATTACATAGCATTTAGAATCTAAATGCATAAGTTGATTGCATTATTAAAACAAAAATCACAAAGATGATATTCATTTTTATATTTTTAGCTTTTAGTGTTAAATTAGTAATTTTCTTTCGTTAATTTAAGATTAATTAACTATGTAAACAACATAAATAGATAATTAGTTTAATTTTACAAATTAGATTGATTTAGGACTTAATTTAGGATTTTAATTCATTTAATTAGAAATTAAAATCAAAGAAAATCAAGAAAAAAAGAGAAGAAGAAAAGAAAGGGGTTTGTTTTGGTTTTGAAATCACTGACCCAAAAATGCCCAAATCCGCCCAGCATTTAACCCGTCTGACCACAAATCCAAGTTTGGCCCAGGTTTCCTATAAGATGAAACAACGCCGTTTTTATCTGGATCAATCTCAGCCCTCCATTATCTCCAATCCAACAGCCATCAACTCCCCCACCCCTCCCCTTAAAAATGTCTGAACTAGACCCCCAAACTCTAGAGAACTAACCTCATTTCCACCTTCTTTATCTCTCAACTCGTCTCTCTCACTCTCACAGCCGCTGTCCGCCACCCGCATGGAATCGCCTATGGCGGCGGCGACACTCCAAATCATCCCAAATCTTTACCCTATACTCCCCACACCCTCCTAAACCTTATCCTACAATTAATTCCCCAAAATCCCCACCTATATTCACCAATTTCCAATCTCAAAAACCCTAAAACCCAAATTTTTTCTTTTTTGATTTTTGAGAGCAAATTCACCCGTTTTGACTAAAGACTTATATTGGTCAATTGTTCTTAACAAGAACAATTGGTTAATGTTGGTTTTGTGTTATTTCAAAACTCGCCAGATTCCGTCCAAGTCAACACTGACCGGCTGAGCTTCGTCGCCTTCATCGTTCGTCGATTCGCTTCGTTCGTCGACTCATTTCTCGGCCAAAATTATTATATCTCTTCTCTTATTCCTTGTTTTTCTATTTTTGGTGTTGCATTATTAATTAGGAGTTAATTTTGAATAGCTTGGTTATTGATTTGATTAAGTTCATTAAAATTAGGATTATGTAGGTTAATTGCATTATTTTAGGATTAATATCTTTATGTTTATCATTTTTGTTTGNAGGAACATGGAAACTTAGGGTATTATAAATCAGAAATTAGGTCAAAATTGGGGTGACTATTTGTATTAAGTAGAATTTAGGGAGGTTAACTAGACAGTAAAGATGAGAAATTTCAGATAAGCATACAAGAAGCTTCTAGATCTTGGACAGTTGACCATTTTTAGTTTTAAAAGATGCTGAAATTTGAATGAATTATTTAGAAACAAGGACAATTGCCAATTTTCTTTTTTGAAAGATGCTAATTTCCTAAATTTAAGGGAGGCTGACAGATTCTCTCGACCTCTCTCTCATTCCCATCATCTTTCATTCTCACATTCTATAAAAAAAAGACTCACACTCTCTCATTCACACACTTTTCACTCAGCATTTTTCTCTCAATTACACTCAAGAACACACACTAATTCTCTACAAGATACACAAAAAGCACTCACACATATAGATTGATTTTTCTTGAAATTTTAGAAAATTCTTCAAAAGAAAAAAAGAAAAGAAAAAGGAACAGAAGTCATTTGGCTTCAGGTTTTCACTAGTTTTTTGGTTCTTTTCCTTTGGTTGAACTTTTGGATTTGTGCTCCTGATTTAAAGCTGTTATCTTGCTGATATTCTTGCTGATTCAGAGACTTATTTTTTGGTTTTCTATTGTTTTTCTTGGCAATCAGGTACACCTCTATGATTCTGTACAATTATGATCTTTAGAATAATCAAAGTTTTCTATTTTAATATGAAGTTATGACTCTTTGTTTCTCTTATATGATTTTATGTATGTTTGTTAGTTGATTGGTCCATATTTGAACTTATCTCTTTGACATAGTCCTTATTTTATATAAAAATACAAGCTAAAGTAAAATTGTTGTTTAAGTTTGGTTTCCTGAAGCATAAGCATATCTTATTGCATTTATAGGGCTATTACTTTGCTTAATATTACTTGCTAAAAGTGAAATTCATGTGTTCAGAATCATAAGCACATCGGTTGTTTGTGTAAAGGTGAGAAGCATCACATTGCAATCAAAAGCATTTGGAAGTTTAGCATATATGTGATTCACATATTTAGGCTTTGAATGTTTGAGATTAAGTTGTCTGATTCCAAAAGACATGAGAAGAAGTAGTGTAATTTTGGTAACACCTAGTTCTAGTATGTATGAAGGATGATTGTTTATTGTAAACTCAGAATTTGCAAAATATCTGGGTATAATAGCTTAAGTCTATTGTTTTGTGTGATGTCTTAAGTTTGCATTTTTTACTCCCTGTTTTGAATTTTGGACTCCAGTGCTTCTGAAATTGAATATTGAGGTAATGGTTTGTTTGAGCTAAGTATTTAAGAGTCAAATCCTTTCATGAGGCAACTCGTTAATCACACGATGTTCTAAGATTAATCCCATAATTTCGATTGTTGCTTATAACTGTTTCCATGTTAGGTTGAAATACTGATTTTTAATTTATTTTGGCTGCAAACTGTGCATTGATTAGTTTTACTGCTACTAATGGAGGAACTATTTCAATAGAGCAAGTCCATAGGTTCAAAATGCCATTATTAGGAGTCAGGCGTATAGCGAGTTGTTTAAAAAGATTTAAACTAAATATGGCCATTACTGATCCCTTTAAATTTGGAGCAGTCATGCATTGATGTTTGAGTAAATTTGCACTTATATTCTATGTGCTTTCATAAAATTGTGTGGAACGGTCATTAGAATCATTAGGTTCAGTAGTAATGACAGTCTTCAAAATTTTGTGACATTTGCACCTCTGGGCGCAGCTTAGGCCCGTTTGGTAATTTATGGCTTCATTGCTGAAGTTTAGTCTCAACCATGAATTGCAATGTTATTGGGCCTTCCAGTAGGCCCATTTACGCTCACTTTAATTGTTGGGCATTTAGTGTGGGCACTTAATTGAGTTTAGCTCATAACACCACTTACTATCATCGGCTAGTTTAGATTCCTTTAATTAGCAAAAATATAACAAATAGTTGCGAACTAGAACAGGGAGGTAACTCACGATTTTCTTAATCATATTTTATCACCAAGTTTTTGTCTTCTCCTATTAAAAATTCAAATAACCATCATTCATTGGGCTTAGGCGTGCTTACACAAATTTTTCAAAACAATTGCATAATCAATGGCGTCACAATAATCTCAAGTTAGCTTTAGGAAAAAATAATAATTCATGAACATCGTAGCTTACTTTAGGCGTGATTAATAAATCATCGTGGCCATGCGTACGGTTTCTGTGGCATAGTCACGTTACGTAAATCCCAATTTGGGTGTGCATTTTATGTGACCCGACCATAACTTCGAATAATAATAAAATAAACATGTTGTAAGTCGCGGGTGCATTTCACGTGATGTGATTTGCAAAATGTACAAAAACAAACAAGTGATCGATATCGCGACCTGTTTCAAATAAATTCCATAATTGTTTAAAATAATTAAAAGCAGATAAAAGGTTAAAAAATACACAATAAGTTTAAAATATGTGTTAAATTAGATAATTAGGCCAATTATTAATAGTTGAGTGACCGTGCTAAAATTATGGAACTCGGGAGTGCCTAACACCTCCTCACAGGTTAATAGAATTCCTTACTCGGTCTTCTGTGTTCGCGAACCAAAAATAGAGTCAAAATTTCCTCGATTTGGGATTTAAAATAAATCGGTGACTTGGGACACCATAAATTATCCCAAGTGGTGACTCTAAATAAATAAATAATCCCATTTCGATTAATGTTACTTTAATTGGAAAACATCCCTATCCCCTCGGAAAAAACGAGGTGTGATAGCTCGGGTGACTCTGCTGGGGAGTAGAACCCAAAATCTCTGGTTCAGGGTTTAGAATTCGAGTTTAGAATAACTGTGATACTTGGCTTTTGTTTATTATCTTATTTTTATATTTTTGAGCCTAATGTGTTAAATGCCGCTTTTTACCGCTTTTATATTATTTGAACTATATATAAAACTGTTACGAATCCCTCTTCTCTCTGAGTCTTCTAAATCTTCTGGGGCGTGTGCGCTTTGCGTGTCTTCTTTTCTTTTAGAGTCATATCCCAATTTTAGAACGAGGTTCAGACAAGTTGCAAAGCCGGTGAAACTTCTGTATTCCGATACGTTGCCCCCACCCCCGACTCGAGTTGTCTGCTCGGGTAAGCCAAGTTTAGAACAATACACCCAATTTTAAACCTAGAATAATATAGCCTCATGCCGGATCCCTAGCAGAAACGCTTGTTTGCATAACGTACATTTGACTTTGGGGACTCAACACAGAGGTTGGGTCCGTCTAGGACAGGTGTACCCAAAAATTAAAAGACCATCCTGATGCATTTTTACGTACTACTTGTACATTTATTTGCTTCAACTTTCATGTTGACCGGCTTCTAGAATAGGGAAGAAAAGTCAAGAGAAACCAAAATTGAGGTAAGAAAGAGAAAATCACCCGTTTCTGAAAATCTCGGTATCCAAAATATCCCGAAACTCTACCGAATTTTTGATTAAAAAAGAGAAAAAGAAGAAAAGCCATTTCAAAATAAATTATATTTTCTAGTTGCGTCAAAATTTACTAAACTACGGGGATTTGATTCTCACCAGATGTGAGATACGTAGGCAACCCTCATCGGGTCCAGCCCCTCTTTTGCAAAATAACCAAAAATATGAAAATATAGTCATTGTGTCATAAATAAAGTTAGGTGATGCCGTTTTTGTCCAAATAGCCAGAAATATCCCAACCGGGCGTCGGAAGGCGGTTTTTGCAAGAATAGTCGTCTATGGTCCTTTTTCTAGTTTTAGGCCATTTAGCAAACACAACCCTAAAATCTCCCCTTCTGAATTGCTGAAGGGCTTTATTTGCAAAATTAGCCGTGATTTGTTTTAAATTAAAATAATCTTTTGCTTGGTCAGTTTTCAAACGAAACTCACATGTTTTAACCAGTCACCCTAATTTAAATGTGTAGAATGAGCACAATTGAGAACCTACCTTTTTGAGTCGTAGATGAAATTCCACTAGGACTCCACATGTGGTGGAACGACCTGAGGGAGGCCGGCAAACGTTCTGTGACAAAGGCTTTAGGTGGGCTCACTGGTCTTTTGAGAATTAAACCAAGGGTTGATATAATTGAAGCTTTGATACCATTCTGAGACCCGATACATAATGTTTTCCACTTCTCTGATTTTGAGCTGACCCCTACACTAGAGGAGATAGCAGGTTATGCTGGTCTTGACGGGAATCTCAAGCATCGATATCCAGTAGCACCAAGAACTGTGACCCCTCATAAGTTTTTGGACCTTCTAAGTATTAGCCGACAGGTTAAAGATGAAAATTTGGCCAGAAGATTCTGTACATTCCATTTCTTATATAGCCGGTATGGGGACCCCTGCGGATTTGAGGCTCCGGACACTAGTTTGAGTCATCAGGGAAATAAAAAAAAAAGGGAAGCACATAGAGGTTTGGCCTTTGTAGTGGCATTTTTAGGCACTCTGATATGGCCAAGGAGTGACAGACATATAGAACTGGGCCTTGCAGGAATAGTCGACTTTATGGTCAAAAAGGCCAATGGCACTACCATACCGATGACTCTCGTAGAAATTTACCAAGCTTTAACCGCTTGTCGAGCTGGGACAAAGTTTTTGAGGGTTGCAACTTGCTTTTGCAAATATGGCTGGTAGAACATCATTGTCATCGCCCGGGTACATGAACTACGGTCTGACCGGACTCAATGGCATTGAAGAATATGGAAACAAGGTAAACGGTCATGAGTTTCCAGAAGGTACTGAGGCATGGTTCGCGTATTTGGGTTATTTGACCGCAAACCGAGTTGAGTGGATTTTCGGTTGGCTCCCGGTCATGTCTGCCGGAGTGTGCTACCGGAGTGTGCTTTCTTTTATTGATGGGTCTTTGGAGTATTCAGCCGGATGCTCCGCATCGGGTCCTACGACAATTGGAAAGATACCAAACAGTCCCTCATGATGAAGATTTGAGTCCATAGGTTATTGAACTATGCCCAAAGCCACATTCCCAGAAGAAAAGGTTCGCCAGATTTGGCACCAATATAGGTTTTTGGAGCAACAGAATCAAGTACGTGATTTGTTCACGGGTGAAGTAGAATCCAACTACACCGCATGGTATGGTAAGAGAGTTTGGGTCGATCAAGAACCAGAACAGCCGGCCAAAAGGCCCCATGTCCAACAATTCACCAACGGAGCGCGAAAACAATGGGTCTGGTTAGCTAAAGAGAAGGGATACAAGACTACCATAAGCAAGCTAGAGGATCAAATCAAAAAAGTCAAATTTGATTGTAGTTTGCAGGCTACTGAGGATAAAGGAGAAAATAAAAGGTTGGCTCGAGAAAATGAAGCCCTCAGATCTCAGATTCAGAAGATGAAAATAGCCGTTGAAAACCCGGCAAGAAGCGAAAAAGACGAAAAACGCATAAGCAATCTGAGACGAAAAGTGAATGATTATGGGTTTGATATGGAAAAGGCCAAGGATGAATTGGCAAAAGCCTGGGCAAAGTTAGCAAAGAATGCAGAAGAACGGACAAGGTTTGCTCAGCAGTTAAATCAAAGGTATGATGAAAGGGTCACAATCTTAAGGAAAAAATGACTAATCTCGAGAATAAAATGGTCTAGCAAGCAAAGGATTTCAAAAGAGAGAGAGATCATTGCTATACAATGATCTCCCAATTAAAGAAGATATACAGTAGTTTCAAGACCAAAACCATACGGCCACGCAGGTGTTGGAAGCCCGGTCTCAGCAAATTGGACGCCTACTCCAAGAAAAGGGTGTCATTAGAATGAAGATTAAAGAAATTGCTGATTATGTCGCAATGAAGTGTCATGAATGCGAAGATTTGACTAGGTCCATGTTCTTTGCTGCTGTGATGACCTTTGTCCGTCAGGTGATAGATGATTTAGAGTACCTCCAAGAATAGATTACACACAGGCCCGCATCAAGACTGACTGATGTCCCGCGGGCCCCTAGAGTAGCATTGGAGGCTCTTATATATCCTGTTTTTCTTTTGGCTTTGAGTCTGTATTTCACCTTTTCGAGTCTGTTAGTGTTTCCAAGTCTGTTTATTTTTCTATTTTGAGTCTGTATGTCAGGTCTTTGTAATTGAAAAACCCAAAAAGATTTTATTTAATGAAATATTGAAAACCGAAAATTTTCTTTTCTTTTATTTCACATTTATTCCCTGAACTATGTAATGATTTGATTAATGCAGCATCGTGATACATAGGCAATCTCTATCGGATTCGATCATAGCTATAAAAATCCGAGTGAAAAATAAACTAAAAAAAGGTGAAAAGAGAGAGAGAAAAGAAAGAAAAAAATTTGAGTGAAACGAAAGATAAGATTGAAGAAATAAAAGAGCAAAAAATAGCAAAAGAGGAAGAAAAAGAATCAAGATTCGAAATTTGAGAAAACATATAGTAAAAGCCGGGATAAAAAATACTGTCGTTGCAAAACATTTAGAAACGTTTAACTGTTCAGGTGCATTGCATCCCCAATATGCGATTCCTAATCTGTTAAATTTTTCAAACTAACTGGTTTGTTATGTGGCATTATACATGTCCTGTTTTAGGTGGTTGATTTTGTGGTAGTCTAGCTTCCCATCCTTACTTCACAAGATCCAAAGGCAGCATTCCCATGGCTTCCAAAAGTCATCTACCAATTATTAATCCTCCAGAGGATAGCTCGGTATCGGTTATCCCAGTGTCAGAATCAACAACTGCTGGAGAAAACAGAATGTTGCATTATCGTATGTTAGAGATATGGGACACTTGGTCTAATGGCAAAGAACACCCCGGTACAATCCCCTAATTTCCTGAACTACTTCCCAGGGCAAACAGAACCTCCAACGTCCCTATTCTCATAACCAATCCATTCATCTTGTTTGGGTACCCTACTATATCAGCTAATTTCACTTGTAAGCCTTCTGAGGTTCGCCCTTAGGCACCATTTCCAGGAGTATCTCCTACAATTCACCACACCACCAGTCTCTACTACGGCACAACCAACAGTGTTCGGACCATATTTCGAGCCTCCCGCTTTCACTTTTCAAATACCATAATATCAGCTAGACATAGTCATGTCACCTTAAACTCCTATCCTCAGTACCCATGATACGAGTCTCCAGTATAACAGGAAAGAACAGCAAGAAACCCCGAGTAAGAAGAAATGGAGAAAATGAAAAGTCTTGAACAAAGTCTTAAGAACATGCAAGGCCTGAGTGGCCAAAAGAGTGTTTCATACTCCGATCTGTGCATGTTTCCTCGTGTTTATTTTCCCGTTTGCTTTAAAATGCCAAAATTCAAGAAATACAACGGGCATGGAGACTCGATCGCTCATTTGAAAAGATATTGTAATCAATTGAGAGGGCGGGTGGAAAGGAAGAACTTTTGATGGCCTATTTGGGGGAGAGCTTGACAGGAATTGCATCAGAATGGTACATGGACCAAGACATCTCCCATTGGCATATATGGGACGACCTAGCCCAAGATTTCGTCAGGAAATTTCAATACAATGTCGATATAGCCCCATATAGGAATTCTTTGACCAATTTCAAGAAAAAAACCGCGGAAAGTTTCCGTGAATACGCTATCAAGTGGCGTGAGCAAGATGCTCGAGTAAAACCACCTATGGATGAGACATAAATGGTAAATGTTTTCTTGCAGGCCCAAGAGGCCGATTACTTTCAAAACATGATGTCTGCCATGGGCAAACCTTTTGCAGAAGCCATAAAGATCGGAGAAATGATAGAAAATGGCCTGAAAATTGGATAAGTCAATCAGCTTTGAGAGACACTTCCCAAGCCATCCATAACGACTTAAGAGGTTTAGCAAATCGAAAGTAGAGGGAAGAAGGAGCCATGATGGCTTCAAGTTCGAGAAGCTCTCGTCGATCCCGTGATTATTCTTACCCGCCTTCCAGAACCCCACAACACTACTACCCTATCAAGATGCAACATATGCCATGGCACCGCCTCCCTATGTGGTGATGAATGCCCAATCCTATACACGGCCACATTAGCACTACGACAGAAACAGAGCTCCACCTCCAAGAAATAACCATCCTCACCAAGCTCCATATAACCCTCGTCCACCACAGAACATCTACCAACATAATACACACCATCGTGAGCCTCCCCGGAAAAGCGACTTCACCCCTATTCTTGAATCCTATTATAGCATGTTTTTAAAATAAATCCAGATGGGTCTATTGCAACATGTGCCTCCAAACCGGCAACATCCAGAATCTCCATCATACCGACCTGGTACCGAGTGTGCTTATCATCCGAGTGTAGAGGGTCATGATACAGAGGATTGTTGGACTTTCAAGAGGACAATTGAGAATTTGATAGAACAAAAACGAGTGGGGCTGAGGGATGAGGAAGTTCCTAATGTGACTAACAATTCATTACCGGCTCTCAACAATGGGCGTCATTGGAATGGTTTATGATGATAAAGAGTTTGATCTCACCTTGAAACCTATCATCGCCATTGCTGATTCGGAGGCAAGACCTAAAGCGGTGCTGAAACAGTCCAGAATGAGAAGAAGAAATCACGCCAACTCCTCAGGTTGCAGAAAAAGCCGTGGAAACGAAAATCGGGGCAACACCTGCTAAGGACGCAATTCTTTACGTTCCTAGGGCCACAAGGAAAGAACAACTCATGTATTTGAGCAAAAGAAAGTCATGCTGAATGTGCCAAAGATATATGTGCCAAAAAGGACTTATGTGGCGCGGGGCTAATAATTTTACCAAGACTGACTGATCCCATGGTTATTAGCCATGCACCCAGAGCCCTATGAGAGACCCCACTGCAATTCCCTAGAACTATAGCAAAACAGTGGTTACTTACAAGGGGAAAGAGATTATGGGAGAAGTGAATGAAATGAACCAATCTGGGAAGTACCACAACCCAAAGGAGCTAAAGAGATCAAAACTGAACAAGGAGATACGGTTTCCACCCAAGACGTCTGTGAGTGCTGAAGAGGCAGAAGAGTTCTTCCGAAAAATGAAAACTTTGGAATATGCCATAATTGACCAACTCCGGAATAATCCTTCCTAGGTTTTGCTTTTATCCCTGCTATTGAGCTCAAATGAATATTAGAAGGTCCTTTTGAAAACATGTAGAAACTTCAGTGGAACAATTGGAATGAATGGATGAATGTTTCTTCGCAGTTAACAGGATTTCTTTCAGTCATGATGAATTGCCCCAGAGGGAGCCGCCCACAACAAAGCCCTTCACTGACTGTCAAATGCGAAGGTGATTATCTGAAGAGGGTCATGCTAGACGGTGGGTCCGGGTTTGACATTTGCCTTCTCTCAATGCTTCAGATTGGAATAGAAGGGATTCAACCAAACAATGTCTATATGTACGCTTTTGATGGTGTCAAGCGTGATACAATATGGGAAATTGACTTGCTTCTGACCATTGGCCCTGTGGATTTCCAAGTGACTTTCCAGGTTCTAGATATGGATACTTCATATAACTTTCTCCTAGGAAGACCACGGATTCACGCTGCAGGGGATGTGCCCTCCACTCTCCACCAAATGGTCAAGCTTGAACATGAAAACCAAGAAATTTTTGTCCACGGGGAGGATGAAAAATCCATTTACAAGGACCCGTCGGTCCCATGTCTTGAAGCTAGAGAAGAAGTGAGAACATTGTTTATCAAGCCTTCAAAATTATGGTCGCCGACCAATGCGAATAAGGGGCCCCGTTTCCTCAACCTTGCTTATCAAATGCATCGGTCATGGTAAAGGGCTTGGGGTATCTCTACAAGGCATCATAGAGACCATTACTTCGACCGCCAATAAGAAGTTCTTCGCCGTAAGTTTCCAAGCTACAAGTGCCAACATAAAATGGGCTGATGAGCACAAGAAAAATGGGTGGATCCTGCCTCAGTCTGTTCTGCATCTCGCCAAGTCATTTGTTAAGCCCAAGTATGAAGAAGGGGAAGAAGAGGCCTTCACGGCCGAGGAGGTTGAGGATATTTGTGAAGCAATAAAACAAAATGTTGTACGAGTCCCACATGGTCCAGCCGGGAGAAGGAACGAGCACTGCTGAGGTGCTATACATGGGACCAAATGCCAAGCTTCAAAATTGGAAGGCTACCCCATTACCTGTCACACGGGAGTCCCGGTAGTCCGGTCTTGCCATCTTTTCTAGATTATGAGTTATTTCAGGGTATAACTCAAATGTTTTTATTTTATTATCTTTTGATTTCGATGTAAACCCTCCTATCTTCAAATTCAATGAAATGAAATCAATATTTCATCGTCAATGGATTTCTCCTTTTTCGTTATTTTGATTTTGTCATTTTTCTTATCTATTTCTTTTCAGTTCTAATAATGCGGACTTAAATAACATGACATGCTTGCGGACTTCATGCCCAGATCCTTAAATTCTGTCTAACTCTGAAATAATGAATCAAGAACCAGAATATGACGAAGATAAGGCTTTTAGGGGAATAAATCGAGAATTGGAGCAATTTGAGAATAATCCTAAGCCAAACTTAAATAAAATCGAGCCAGTTAATTAGGGTAGTCTAGAAGAGGTCCGGGAAACCATGATAAGCATTCACGCAGATGAAAGAACTAGAAATGCATTGATCCAACTTTTGTTTGAATTTAAAAACATGTTTGCATGGTCCAATGATGATATGCCAGGACTGAGGAGGAGCCGGTAGCTATTCTAGACTGGCAGGTTCGTCAGTTAAGATCGAAGAATTTCCCTTCAATTCATGTGTAGTGGAGAGGTCAGCCTGTTGAGGCAGCGACCTGGGAGTTCGAGTCCGATATGCGGAGCCGATATCCCCATTTTTTATCCGACTCAGGTACTTTTTTATGTCCGTTCGAGGACAAATAGTTATTTTAGAGATGGAGAATGTGATGACCCAAAAGGTCATCTCTTTTTTTCGAAGTCAAATCTGTGTTCTGAGGCCTTAAAAACCTCCTTTTGTCTTACCTTGATTTGCATGCATAGTCTGGGCACGTTTCTGCAAAGCTTTTATGTGAACTTTAAGGGAAATATTGAAATTAGCCTTTAAAATTAATTAAAGTTGACATAGGTCAACATTTTTGGTAAATGGACCTGGACCCGTGATTTGACGGTCCCGTAGGGTCTGTAGTAAAATATGGGACTTGGGTGCATGCCCAGAATCAA